GAGAGAGAGAGAGAGAGAGAGAGAGAGAGAGAGAGAGAGGCAGAGAATGAGAGTGGGAGGGGGGATGAGAGAGAAGTAAAATTGTTTACATAATAGTAACTTAAATCCTTTTTAATGATCTTGCCTCTTCTACGGTTTTGAACGTTGCCATAGTTTGGGCTCCTACAAAGGCAGAACCAATGAGATGAAGCTGATGTCGACAATCAGATGGTAAAAGTAAAAGATGTTGCAGTGCTATCAAAGGTGCTATTTATCTATCGATCTGAATGAATGTCCGTTTAGGCTTGGGTTTCCTCGGTGCATTTTTCAATTTTTCACTGAATCCCAAAGAGTACAATGTCAGAAAGTGGTGTGAACATAGCATTAAGGTGGTATCGTATTATTATGTAAAATAGAGAAAAGGGGGGGGGGGCACGACGTAAGCATGCCAACGCGAGTGCCCTCTCCCCCTCTTTTACACACGCACATACACACACACATACACACAGACACACTCACTCACACACACACACACACACACACACACACACACACACACACACACACACAAACACGCATACACACACATACACTGGCATCTTCCAATGATTATTATCGCCCGTCCGTCAATGTCTGACGATGGCCTATACATCCGCAAAGGAGAATATAATTTCTCCAGCGAAATCGAAAAATTAGAAGAAGAAAAAGTTAAGAACTATCCATTGTAAACTATAGTAAGCCTATTATATTATATTATGTAGTGGGCAGAAAATAGGGTTTGTGCTGTACTTGTCTACAGTCTATTCATTCTATCTATGCCCTGTGATGATTGTGTATGTGGCCACTTGGGTTAATGCATAAAATCTAATTCTCTGTTCCGGTGAGAACAAGAACGGATTCATGTTCTGCACTTTGTTGCGTCATGTTATATCTCCTCAGGAGCTGCCGAGTTGCACGTAAGCCTTCGCTGGTAATTCATTAGTTTTCGTAAGAGTTTTACGGCACTTGCAACACGATAAATTCATATAAGTGCGGAAGATTAGAGGTGTTACAGGAGAGTAACAAACACAAAAAAGAAGGATGAGAGATCTAAGGATGATAGAAGTTTTGTAGGACAAAAAGAGCAAAACTCACCAGAGCACCCACCAGCCACCCATGCTGGTAATTTTCTATTCAATTAGATCACCCATATTCGAGTCTATACTTTGCACATGCCAAAATACCGGTATTACCAAACACCGAGTCCAGCAAAAAAGTTTATACACGTTCACAGTATCATGGCAAGATAAATTGATTTCGTCACTGCCACAAGCAATCCACTTCAGTCGAAAATTTGAGACTTTTCGATTATTACACCCTCTCAAAGCTCTATCAAAGATGTACTGTTCAACATCACCAAAATTATATTTTGTAGTTTAATTCCAATGGGCAAGGTTTACACTTTTCTTGCTTTCCATGATTTTCATGAGGCGTCGGTGGCCTAGTGATTAGGCTACCGGACTGGTAATCGTGAGGGTTCGAACCGCGGGTTCGACGTTGTGTCCTTGGGAAAGGCAATTTACACGAATTTCCTTTTCTTCACTCAGGTGGGAATGAGTACCCGGCCATAGACAGCGAAAGATCTTGTCAGTATGTTTGTGTTTTAGCGCCTATAAATGACCACTTGCACTGTATGCTTCCCAGGAAGTTGAGGTTGTTTCAGAATGCTCACAGGTCTGCTGGGTTGATAGAATAGATTGCGAAGCGCGTAGAGCTTGCTGTTGAGCGGGAATTTGCGCTATAGCTTGCTGTTGAGCGGGAATTTGCGCTATACAAATGCTATCTTTTATTATTATTATTATTATTATTATTATTATTATTATTATTAGTATTGTTGTTATTATGATTCTTGATAGGAACACCACAACAAAAGCTACAAATGGACTTAAATGTTTTGTTTGCAGCACCGACGATACGAACGTGAGACACTGCGAACTCAAAGTGACAGTTTTGCCGAGGGATTTTTCCTCTTCTTGTACATGTACTGTGTTTGGCTTTTTTCCGTTTTTTACGGGGGGGGAGGGGGTGTCATTTTTAGTTCAATGTCCTTCTGAGAACGACCACACTGGTGGCGAAGTTCTAGGCACCCGTGCAAAGCACAAGGATTATACACCACAGCACCTTTAATCTTCGGCATTTATACCACCTTACATGTTACTTGTTACCTGTCCTGGGCAACAATGTAATTGCACACCGGACAGGTCTATAAGTGCTCAGTTCCTCTCAGCACTATACCTCGCAAGGTATCCAGACTAATTGTTTCAGTGGCTGTTTGATTATGGCGACGTCTGTCCTTTCCAGGTAATCGTTCCTTTCTTCCTTCTCCTCTCTCTATCCCCATTTCCCGCATTTTGATGATTACGTTGCGTCGTGCTGTCTCCCTGTCCTCCTCATCCCGCAACGTTTTTTCCAAGGTCTCTAACTTCTCCATATTGTGTAGCAAGTGCAGTAAATCCCTCACCACAGCGTCTGCGGCTAGACCCGAGTTAGATTCCTGCGTTTTGATAATTCTTTTTAAAAAATTAAGTATCCCAGTCTTTTTGCCCGAATGTTTAATCCCTCTCAGCCCGACTGGCTCTAACATCCAGGGTAGGAAGCCCGCCTCCTAAAATGATTTAAATTAGCTCGACGGGGGGAGAACCCCCCCACATACATTAAGCACCAACTCGTCCTAAAGCTAAACAAAAACCATTAAGTATTTATAGTCCAGCTCGTGTTTAATGAATCAGACCAATAAGACAACAAATCTCCAGTCAAATCGATCTTTTGACAGTATTCTTGGAAACTCTTGATTTTCAGTTTCTATGCCTTTGGTCAACATTTTTCAGGAAAATCCAAACAGAATTGTGTTCTTAAATGCACACAAAAGATGTAGAGCCAAAAAGAGAAAGACAAAAATATGGATAAAAATTGTCCAACCAGCGAAAGAACACCTGTTTCCTTGATCTTACTCTTTTGACTAGCGCCTGATTTCTCACATATCTTTAATTCTTTTTTTCCACATGGAGAACAAAACATTTTCTCAAACAGACTCAATCTGTCGCTCCATCAATTGCAACCGTGATCAAATTATTATTTCAACATTCACACCAATGGCGTTGTAATCCAATCATCGTTAGCGATACGTCATAGGTCTAAAAAAAGGACAGCAGGCTCGGTGCAGAAACGATGTCTGTGTGATGCATAATTATATTAGTCTTATTGTCAGATTATGAGACAAAAGCTGAGAGGCCCTTGAAGTAGACGATGGAGGCGAATACTGCAACGTTCAGGACTTGACTCGACGTCAGGTTGACCAGCATGGGCGTGTCTTTGGTGATGACCACAGTGGTCAGTATCCGGACTGGGGAGACAATGGTGAAGCTATGAAAGCCAAAGAGATAGAGGAAGGAGGGTGCATTTTTTAAACTTAATTTGATTTAGTAAGGTTTTACGGCGCTCGCAACTGCATAAGGCAAGGTCATATGAGCGCCAAGGGGTGGATGTCAACAGAGAAGTCCCAACAGGCTTACTCTGCTCACCTCTCTAGCCTCAACAGTACAAAGTCTGCTGCGACTATCAAGGCATCCCGGAAACAGCAGTTCACAAGAGAGTGACAAAAACACAAAAGAAGTAGAGGAAACGATAGTAAAAATAAGGAAAGAAAAAACGATCTTATCATCTGTATTTTCTAATTGATTGTCTTTTATCTATTTTTTGTTTTTCTCATTTGAATTTTTATTATCTATTGCTTCATATTTACCTATTCACTTGGTTTTTTTAAAATTTACATGTACTTATCCATTTACCAATTAATCAATTCAATTTTACAATTTGATATTTGTTTTTAATTTTACGGTCACATTTTGAATGACGTTTCACTTGCTGAATTCGAACTCTAGCATTAATCTCATTAATCTTAGCCGTTAACCTTTGTTTCTTTGTCTGGTCTGTCAGGAAAAGTGTGTGTCGGTAAAAAAAAAAAAGCAGTACGTGAGCCTTCTATCGGAACGATCTGTGGAACAAGCAATACTATTGGTCCCCTTTTGTCGTGACTCACCTCCTGTGCAGTAAGCAGCGATGAACCAGGTGAGCCCGCTCACACGGCCAGCGTCCCACTTGTTCAAGATCTCATAGAGCTGCTCGATCTTGCTCCACAGCAGTATGGGGGTCGTCAGCGCCTGAAGGGAAAAGGAAAGATGGGGGGTGTATTTTACACCATAGCCTAGAGTATGAGTTCAACGCCCTTTTCTACAGTAGAACATGACTATAGAGGCACCCGCTGCAGCAGGACCATCCCCCCAGCGGGACCTTACCGGAATCACCTTTTTGTCTATGTAAACTCAAGTAATTGTGCTATGGTGCAGCGGGGCAAGGAAAGGCCTGAACTTGGATACAGGGGGAGCTAGGCTATCTGAGGGGGGGGGGGATCGAGCAAGCTCTAGCTGGGGGAAGGAGGTTGAGAGTGGGGGGCTGCAGGTGGGTTCCAAACAGGCAGCCAGACAGTTAGTAAAAGAAGAGGAGAGCGTGTGTAGTGTTTGGTTTTTTTCCGGTAATTCTCCTTTGCATTCCTATAGCAGGAACTTGTCCACAGCGGGATTTTTCTTCTGGAACTTAAGGTCCCGCTACGGCCATGTTCTACTGTGTTTGATAATGTTATGAGGTGAGATCTCCAGTATAAAAGTTCACCGTTTCCGGAAAAAGAAGCACAAGTGGACAGAAAACCCTGTTTAAGGATGCAAACCATATTCATAGACGTCGTAATCTTTCTTTTATTCCAAATGAGCTAACCATGCTTCCCAGCTTAGGGAAGCCTCTTCTCACATTTAACTTCGGTAATTTAAAAAACATTATAATATGTCCGTAATAATGATAATAATGAAAAGTTTGTATTCATTTATTTACTCATAAAAAACAAACAACAACATTTGATATACTTTCATACTCATCAATAGTTATACGTCACCTTCTCTTCACCCCCCCTTTCCCATTTTTTGTTCAGCCTTTTAGTTTCTCAAAATCGAAAAAACAAAAAAAACTCGACTCTGCCTGTTAAATAACTGTGCCGTAAGGGAATTTTCTGACTTCAAATACTTTCACGAACGTCTTCACCGAAAAAAAAGAATTATCATTCTCCTCTACCACACGAAAAATACAATACTATGGCCATTAAAAAAAGAAACAAGACCATAGTGAAAGAGGTGTTTGAAGGAAAGATGTGGGGCAGGAGAGCCAGAGGAAGACAAAGAACAGCATGGATGGACAGCACAAGAACATGGACTGGCCTTAATATGGCAGAATGTGCAACTGCAGCTCGCGACCGTGAAAGATGGAGGGTCATTACACATCAACCTCTGAGTCAGAGATGACACCTCCAGGTATCCAGGTATTGCCACTCGACATGCCCAGTGAAGGCTCTCTACTGTTCTTATACTGTAAACCAGTATTTTTAGAAAAAATTATTCAAAATTCATGACACCATAGTCATTTCAAAATCCCAAATATGGTTTTCTTTCCGACTCCACATGCCCTTCCCCCAGGGCAGTGCCACTGACTGAAGTGTCTTTAGGCCATTCCCAAATGGGGTGGGGTGTATTAACATGTTCTTATGCAAAGTAGAATTGTAAATGAGCAGATTTATCAATGTCATGCTCATACTGTGCCGGAACAACATAAGGGGAACTTCAGCTTTTTCTTTCCTCATCCTTACTATCGTCATTTTTTCCTCTACTTCTTTTGTATATTTGTCACTGTCTTGTGAACAGCTATTTATGTGGTTCCTTGATAGTCGAAGCAGATTTTGTGCTGTTGAGGCTAGAGAGGTGAGCAGAGTAGGCCTGATTCCCGTTTAGACTTCTCTGGTGACATCCACCCGGTGGCGTTCATATGACCTTTTGCGGTTGCAAGGGCCACGAAACCTTACTAAAACTAAATCTGCCCCCTCTCTCCCATTTCTTCTGAGGTGACTGACAAGCATAAGTACACACTCACGATGGTTGAAACCATAATCAGGTCAGGAAGCCATCTCATTACTATCATCACGAAGCAAAACGAATATCTTGCCATGTCTGTAAGGCTCAACGTAATATACAGCGAAGAAGATTTATAAAGAAATGTAGGTATAAAAATAGATATTTAATTCTACTAGATCTAGATCTCAACTGCAACAATCAATTGCAGAGATACAATGTCTTAGGTATGGTATGGTATGGTATGGTATGGTATGGTATGGTATGGTATGGTGTGGTATGGTATGGTATGGTATGTATGGTATGGTATAGTATAGTATGGTATGGTATGGTATGGTATGGTATGGTATGGTATGGTATGGTATGGTATGGTATGGTATGGTAAGGTATGGAAAAGCATAGCATGATAATTTCTTGATATATGGTATGGGCTCCAAGGTCCATTTCAACACATTGTTGGTATTGGTAAAGAAGTACTGAGACTGATGGTCTGCTTTCTTGCTAGCAGTAAGTAAACTGAACTTATAATACACAAAACTGACTTGCTGCAGTACTACTGGTGCAAAGTCACTTAGCGAAAAGGCAAATACATATTATAATATTATATTATGGTTCAGGGTACGTTATTTTATGCAACTCCCTCATTTAACATGCATACTCTACATTATTTTTAAAAATGTAGGTTTGTCTACACCCCGGCAGACGCAATTTAGACACATTAGGTGGAAAGCTTCCAACCGTACCGATTAAGGCCAACCCGGGCAGAGGGATACAACATCTCAGCAGAAAGACTGAGACACTCGATAGAAACCCCCCTCCCCCTGCCCCCTCTTACTCGGGAATGGAATTTGGGTCTCCTGAGTGCGATAACAAAGCGCCTAACTGCTACACCACAGACACAGTAAATGATTTTCTTCAGCCTATAATATTATAAGGATACAGTAAAAAGTAGGGGAGAGTTCTTGATCTCAGCTGACCTTTGTAACTCATCACCACTAGAGTCAGGACGAAATCTGGAGAAAAACAGAAACAAAACTGTATAACATTTCTCAACGTTACATGTTTGCGACTGTCTATGTGTCTGTGTGAATGCGTGTCCGTCTGTCTACCTATCTGTCTGTCTCCTCTAGTCAAGTAAATTGTGTCGATCATTGTCTCATTTTCTCACAATCAGAACCCTCTTTTTATAGATCCGGTCTTATTTCACAGTACAGCTTTTTTCCATTAAAATAAGAAATTAAAGACACAAATTAAATAAATAGGACGAATGCTCATATTCCTGTCCTACTAACCAAATCTACAAACTATTTATGAACGAAAAGAATGGGGTAGAAGTTACACTGTCCTTTTTGTACAGGAAGGGGGTTCTTAGAATACATAATGTATCTAGCTTAAAATAATTATTGTTTGCATTACTGTTCATTTATGTTATGCTTGGGACTGTAAGTCTGCGTGTGTGTGCATGTTTGCGTGTGTATGTGTGTTTGTGTGTGTATGTTTGTGTTTGTTTGTGTGTGTATGTGTGTGTGTGTGTGTGTGTGTGTGTGTGTGTGTGTGTGTACGTTGTGAAACACCAAACAATGTGCCAGGATCTGGATAATAAAGACGTATCTTATCTTATTTTATCTCATCTTAGTATGGTCTAATAGTCTAAATCGTATTGGCTTCTTTATGATATGAATACGAGACGGCAGGAGCTACCACCTTCTAAATCTCCCTAAACAATACAATATTACTAATATTTAGATTTATGTACAAGACGCTGACCGACATATGCGTTTACGTATCCATAAGGGCCTCTACAGACGAGCTACAATTGTCGAGAAAGAAGAACTTGGGTTTACCCCATTGTTTCGCACAAATAACTAAGATGACAGGTTATTTAAACTTTTATGAAGAACTTGAAGAAGATGAGTCCAAATTCTTCAATGGAAAACTTGCTTACGTATCTGCTTCTTCAATGCGTCACATGCGTCATTGTATTCTGGTCTGAGTGCTAGGCATACATCTATCCAAGTCCAGGCATCATTTTAAACAATTGTTTTCATATTCCTCTCTTGTGTTGTCCAAAATTATGTTCCGGCTCTTCATTTGCAAAATCAAACGCTCTGTTTCGTAATAAGAAGACCAGATTGCGCAGAAATTCCTGCTGGGTGTTTTACTTCTCGTCTGCCTAGACCGGAAACCGTTGTAATACGATTTCTCTCAACAGAAAAGGCTTATTGTTGACAATCAGAAGTCTAGCATGAACAGTAGTCTATTCCGAAGAACCACTCTGAGGGCTATCAAAACAGAATATACTGAGCTGAGTTGGGGGGGGGGGGGAGAGACAGAGAGTGTGTGTGTGCGACAGAGAGTGTGTGTGAGAGAGAGGGGGGGGGGGGGGGGGGGTGCGAAAGGGCAAAAGAGGGGGAAGGGGGATGAAAGCCCCTATGGAGACAAAAAGGGCAAAAAGCCCTTCTGGGGAACATTGTAGTTATTAGAGGAAATTCTGTTAAATGGTGAAAACTGGCTCTTTGGTGGACGGTGATTCTTTTTGGGCTGTTCTTAGTTGGAGACCATTGTATAGACATATAGATAGATAGATAGATAGATAGATAGATAGATAGATAGATAGATAGATAGATAGACAGCTTGCTGTTGGGTGGGCGTATGCGCTATACTTAAAGGGATGCTATTTATATCATTATTATATCGTATATTATATTATATTATATTATAGTAAATACGGTGCCTGTGAAACAAACCTTCTGACACCATTATGACCTTCTCAGCCCATGTGTACATCGGATATCCCATAGCCACTTGGTATGTCAGCATTATGGAATATCTGGAGAAAAGGCACAGGACAAAAGAATGAACCCTTTCAGCTTTGAGTACATGATTGTTTATAAGTAAAATAGAGACTCCTAAGTCTGCGCGCAACACGTCTCACATAACCGAATAGTGTCTCTTTACCTCATTTAATCTCACTTCAACCGATCTCATTAAACCTTATAATAATTATAATAATTGCATTTATATATAGATTTACACCTCGCCATCTCGGACAAGGCCGGAAAATCTCGGATACCCCGTGTGCAAAATGCGCACGTTAAAGATGCCTTAGTGGTTTAACATCGATAAGAGTAGGCTTCGACCGCCACCCGGACAAAATTCAAAATGTCCTACCAGCTGGAAATGTTTAATGTGTCCCGTGCGCTCAAATGACCTAATGCAGTTGCGAGCGCTGTAAAAAAAAAGAACCTACAATAATAATAACTATAAAAAATGTCATTATTATATCGCATATCCAAACTCTACAGCCTACTCTATACGCTTTACAACTATTATTACCCCAACAGACCTGCTGGGAACACTCTAAATCATTCTCAGCTTCATCTGCTGATTACACGGGTTCAGACGCTATCAAACTAACAAGATTGTTCACTCTCTGTCTCTATAGCCAGGTATCCATTTCCACCTGGGAGAAGTGAGGAAAATTTGTGGAAAGTGCCTTTCCCAAGGGCCCAACGTCGGGCCCCAGACAGCCTTCGAAGTCAAGACCTTACGGTTGCGAGTCCGAGAGCCTAACCACTAGGCCACCGACGCCCTTACCTTAATCTCTTCCATACACTATGCACATGAGCACAATGCTGGGTGAATACTAAGGGATATTATAATTGAAAATGGTCTTGGATAGGCCTAACGCATTGTTAAAAATGGAATATGGCATCTAGTCTTTCTTTCCGCACCCTGTCACTTTCGTAAAATTAATAATAAGCATTGGTTCAGACTAGGAATAAAGTAAATGCAGATACAAATTTTACAGGAAGCATACTACTAATGTAGCTAATTGTAAACATGACTACGAGTTCTTGCTATTTTTAAACAGAAAATTAATACGGAAAATATGCAAAATTTCAACATCTACATTCCCCTATTTGGATGAATTGAACATCACAGCTTGCACTAAAGAAGAATTAGTTCCACTAAGAAAGATACAGAAGGCTATTTTGTCCATCATTCATCAAAATTCTTTCGTCTTATTCTTAACCATCTTGTTACAAGTATTCATATATGACCATAGAGCATGCATCAGAATAACATTGAGTTACAATCAGAATGCTGACTATGCATCTAGCTTAGCATTATTGTAGTGTGTGTGTGGGCACGTGTGTGTGTATGTGTGTGTGTGTGTGTGTGTGTGTGTGTGTGTGTGTGTGTGTGTGTGTGTACGTGGTGAAACACCAAAACCGATTTGCCAGGATCTGGACAATATTATATAAAGATATATCTTATAAATTTTATCTTATCAATTTTACACACGCTATCCACTCCAGAACGATGCTGGGCAAGCTGATAGCTCGTGTGGACGAGGACACAATAACGACGTAGAGCTGAGGGACCTTGTAGATGAAGGTGGCGATGAAAACAGTGGCGCTAAGGAACTCGCAAATCTGCGTCAGGAGCTCCCCGTCCTCGGCGTCGCTCGTCTCTGTCATGCCGGTGGGAACAGGGCTGTCCCCGCGGTTTTATGCAAAAATAATTCTGAAATTAATTATGCCCACTGAGCCCAAAAATGTGAAATTATGCGATTCTGTTAATTGTAACAAAGAATGATAAAGGAAAATAATCAGAAATTACGCAAAAAATGGTTAAATTTTGCCAAATTATGCGGGGTGCATAAAACCACGGGGACAGACAGGGGG